CAGGTATCTCATATACCTGATGTATTCATGTTAATAAACTTCTGTTTGTTTTTCTCGTTAATCTATTACAGAGGTCTCGGTGGAGAATTCAGAAAGGGAAAATGATTTTTCCTTCTCTATTAACCACAATCAGTTAAAATTTCTGTCTCCTTCCATTTCTACACCCTCCATTATGCTTCCCCTCATGACAAGTAACACCCAATTTGGTGGGAGGGAAGCGGATTTGGAAATACAAATGCTTTGGGTTTAGTGGATAATACTGATGGGGTTCATAGTCCTTTCTGAGTAGAGTTAAGTTATTGCAGGCTGTCCTGGCTTAAGAATGCCTTCCAGGAATATTCCTACTTCCCACTAAGTTGACACAACAAAGCATCAAGAAATTATTGTCTTATTAGGATAAGACCAAGTATCATGGTACCTAGCACTAGATTATACAAGTAGTGAAGGAGGAAAATGGTTAAACAAGGTTTGAGATATACAGAACCAGAAGCTCGTCTGTAGAAAATTCTTCCAATTATGAGGCCTGTAAAAACTTACAATATGCCACTAATAGAGTTAATTCGTAGATCAGGACCCACAAAATGGAGGCCACCCCAGTGGCCTGGCCCACGCCATAAATCTAAACCCAAGTCGGTCTACATTTACAAAGAATGCATCACTGTCAAAGAAACCTAACACCAATCACAATCCTCCAGCTCAGCTTTAGCTAGCTTGCCTTACCCTAGAAAACACGCCCTGCTAGCCTTATAAGGAAATCACTGACCTCCTAGGCAATCATGCCATTTCTGTGCTGCCTCTTCTAACGCCCTATAAAACTCACTCTTGTCCCAACTCCCTCAGGAAGGGTGTTTCATGCCTGTGAGGTACTGTGCTCCACAATCTATGCGTGCTTCTCCCCTCAAGTAAAGGATAAACGCGTCAGTACGTATTATTTTTGTCATCTGACACCACCACAGGGAAGACCTCAACCACAAACCAGTAAATGAGGGTTGTCAATTAAAATGCAAAAGTATTTTAGGCCTATTCACTGCAGAAGAAAACCTGAAATGCCTTGAAATCTTACAGCCCCCATATTAAAGGAACTTGGAGGACATTTCCACCCCCCCCGGTTTGACAGCCTTCCTAAATTTTACGGGACATGAACAAGGACTTGAGCTGCTGAGGGGAAGGCAGCAGAGTTTGGAAACAGTGTCAGGTTTTGGCTGAAGGGAAATGCCAGTTAATGGACGTTAGCAATCCAGAGGAGGACTCGGCGTGGCAGGCAGGCAGTCTTGTCTTGCACCAGTAGAGTTTAAAATACAAAGGGGATGTCTAACTGAAACTCAGCAGAGAGGCTAGGGTAAGAAACAGATCTGCAAACTACCATAATAGGAACAGAAGCTGGGAGCAGGTGAGAGACCTCTGGGAGACAGAGCCGTGATGGAGTGGACACAGGGGGAATGCAACAGTTAAGGGTTGGAGAAAGAGAGGGTCCTCTAAAAATTAGAAGAGGTGTTCAAAAAGGCAGGAAAACTAAAGGAGTCTGGTATCCTGAAACCATGGAAAAAGTGAGTCTTAAGTGACCAGCAGGGCCATATACTTCAGAGAGGTGAAATGCTAAGAAGAACTGAAAAAGATCACAAGGTTGGCCACTTAGTCAGCTATGATGGGGGGGAGGGGGAGGGGGGGACGACACGACACAGCTGCGGCTCACTGGCAAGGCTGGAGGCTAAGTTACAGCGCCCCGAAGAGCAGAGGGCTTTCGAGCTTCACAAGATAGTACCCTAGTCACCCAGAAAGCGCATCTGTAAACCACAAAGTGCCAGGAAAAGAGTTTCCTACTATTCCTACTGAGCCCTCCTGGGGCCCCAGCAAAATAGGTCCAGAAGCGGAGGCAAGACTCATTTGCATCACACTGGCCAGAGCCTCCACCCTCCCTCTCCTCTTCCTCCCGGCCACGCGATTTTCTCCCAGCAAGTAAACTCCTGAGGCTTCTTTCTTCTTCCCCTTACCCCTCTAACCGTAAGTCAAGTGCAAATGAAAACCTGAAGTCCACAGGGGCGGTGGGAGCGGAGAGTGCGGGGGAAACAGGTGGGTGGTGGGGTGCAGACCAGGCAGAAGGCATCTGAAGGAAGGAAGCTGTATTATAATTACCATGTAAGCACAGTGGTTGGGGGAGGGCGGTAAACCCAATAGTTTCAAGTTGGAACCTGTCTAATTCTTTAACAGAATTAATCAGACACCCAATTTATAATTACGTGACAAAATTTTACTGTCATAAAGGCTAACCTCAAATAAGAAACAGTAAAAAGCATTTCTAAATTCACTGCATTGAGTTTCAAGTATACACAATTTAAAAGTGAAATTTATTTTGTGGAAGAGGAATGGTTCAATTTCTAACATTTTCTAATACTTCTGTCAAACAGAGTAAAGTACAACTTTCCCAGTAAAAGATGAATTTCAGGTAGATCATGAAATATTCAAGATGTACCATGACACTACCAATAAATATAACCATCAGACTAAACTGCTTTCAAAAAATATCTGGCGTAACCAATTTTTAAAACATCTCTATCATCTTGAGAGCCCTAGGTTATCTATGTTTTCCAACTTAATAAATCATGAAGAAACTATGGATGGGCTGGTAAGAAAAAAATCATTGCATCTGACATTCTCTAGTGATATCAAAGTGCGGGCAAAAATGACATATTATGTGACATCAATATTAAACTATCACCTTGGTTAACGGATGCTCAGTTATTGCAGAAATACAATTATATAACAAAAAGGGAAAAAGTAAACACACTGAACCCTTACCTTAGAAAGCTTTGTTTTAATTTGAAAAAGCTGTTTGTTATAAAGAAATCCTGTAAAATCTTCCACAGTGCTGATGGGTGTTTTTGTTTTGTTTTGTTTAAAATAACTAGTTAGAAAAATAGACTATTAGCCCTTGTTAACAAACACTGACCTCCTTTATTGCAGACTAAAACATGCCTTAATGTCAACAGCTGATAGAAAGAAAATAATTATGTCTTAGAGAAACCAAAATATGCTCCACCATTCACCATGAATAGTCAAACTGAAAAAAGCCACTTTGGACACTGGAACCTCTGAGTTTATGTATAATAAAATCCCACTGGGCGCCTGGGTGGCTCAGTTGGTTAAGCGACTGCCTTCGGCTCAGGTCATGATCCTGGAGTCCCGGGATCGAGTCCCAAATCGGGCTCCCTGCTCAGCAGGGGGTCTGCTTCTCCCTCTGACCCTCCTCCCTCTCATGCTCTCTGTCTCTCATTCTCTCTCTCTCTCAAATAAATAAATAAAATCTTTAAAAAAAAAAAAAATCCCACTTTAGTCATAATTTCTTCATGTAAAAAATTTTTTATAGTAGTTTAAGGTGCTCACACCTCTCATTTGATTCCCACAAATAAGGAATTGGGAGAGGTAGACCATTATTACCACTCGTGTGTAATAACCTCAGGAAACAGATTTCCTAGAGCACTTGCGGGCACAGCTCTTGCTTCCACTTGGAACAAAGGCATCCTACAGGTCAGGTGAGAATGCAGGAGCCTCAAGATCCAAGCTAGTGAGGCTCTTTACAATGGACTTCACTCCAGTTTGGTTAATATGTGGCTAAATCAATGAACACCCCCAACTCAATACACCATGTAATCACCTTACAGAGTAGAAGCTTTCCACTTCTCAAAGCTCCCCTAACAACCGCCACTATCTTCCACGCAGTACCCTGGAGGAAACTGCACGGAGACCAGAAATGACACGCCCACGTCACCTGATGAGTCAGCAGCAGAGTAGAGAATAGGACCGCGGGTTCTATTTCCTCAGTTCTAAGCATTTATTGCTTAAACAGAAGATAACACAGTACCAAAGAATTACCCACAAGGCCAACAGTAAAATGGGGGCACAGATTCATGTATCTGAGAAAAGATAACTAGGGTGATTTCTAAATTGTTTTCTTCTAGGTACTAAAAACAAATATGCCTGGAGAGCCCCGCCTGGCAAAAGGAATGAGAGTTCTCTAACCATAGCACATGGATGGTCATGCAGGCATGAAAAGTCTAATGTTTTGTTTTTTTTTTTAAGATTTTATTTATTTGACAGAGAGAGACTCAGAGAGAGAGGGAACACAAGCAGAGGGAGTGGGAGAGGGAGAAGCAGGCTTCCCGTCGAGCAGGAAGCCTGATGTGGGGCTCGATCCCAGGACCCTGGGACCATGACCTGAGCCTGTACACCTTTCAAAGCAGACGCTTAACGACTGAGCCACCCAGGCGCCCCGAAAAGTCTAACGTTTTAAAGGAAAAACAAAACAATAAAGCGTCAATGTCAATGCAGAGCCTACAGTAATAATAAAGACCTAAAACCCTGAATTTTGCAAGGTTATTAACGAAGACAGACCATTAGAAAAAGCTATGTGGCCAGACTAATTTAATTTAAACCAAGTAGTTGACCTAAACCGTAACTTCAAAAGCTTAAAAAATAAACAGGGTTGACCTTTAGAATAAATATTTGCCTTGAATTCTACAATAAAGGGTAGCAGCTCATTAGATGAATCATCTTCACACTGCTTTCAGAAATACAGCTATTAAGCTTTCATTAAATTCAAGCCTTTATAGCCCAACACATTAAATGTAAAGTGTAAGGTTTCACAACAGTATAGTTTTTTGTTTTTTTTTTAAAGATTTTATTTATTTATTTGAGAGAGAGACAGCGAGAAAGGGAACACAAGCAGGGGGAGTGGGAGAGGGAGAAGCAGGCTTCCCGCTGAGCAGGAAGTCCGACATGGGGCTCTATCCCAGGACCCCGAGATCATGACCTGAGCCGAAGGCAGTCGCTTAACGACTAAGCCACCCAGGCACCCCCACAACAGTATAGTTATTTGACCTGCGCTAATTCATAGTAATCAAAAAACTCGTTTTATTAAAAGCTGACCTATAGATCCCTCTCCTTTATCACAATCATTAAGGGGTTCTTAGTACCTTGCCAAAAAATAAGATCAGTTTTCCCTATCATGCCAACTTTCTAAAACACGAAGAATAGTCTCACCATTAATAAGAGTAGCCACCATTGAGGGAGTGCTTCCATGGGCCACAGCCTGTGCCACTGGTTTTACTTGTGTTTTCTCATTTCACCCTTAAAACTCAGAGAAGTGACTGAGGGGGGCCCCCCAGCTAGAGAGCAGCAGAATCTGGATATGGACTCAAGCACACCTAAGACATTCCTACTCCCTGTGCTGTTGCTAACTCAAACAGTAAAGACCTTGAAGCACAAGAATTGACCTAAAGGATGCCAAGCATTAAGCCTAAGAGAACTCCAGAATATTCATCAGTGTTTTGCAGTCCCTTTATATCTGGTCTTCACAGAAATCTGCAAGTCAGAGAGCAAATCCTAGCAGAGGCAGGGGAAAAAAAAAAGAAAACACACCTGTACCTTGACATCATTCCTTAGCAAATGTATAAGGTGATGCTTAAACCTTTTCAAGAATCTAATCAAAGCTATGGATCTGCTTTGTAGAAATTTACATAAAAATTTGCATTATTTTACAAAGTTCAGATTCCCCAAGTTCACCTACATGTTTCCTTTTAAAAACTCCCATTTGCTTGGGCTAAGAATCAACACAATGAGGTTAAGAAAGTACAAACTGGGGGCATTTGGATGGCTCAGTTGGTTAAGCATCCGACTCTTGGTTTCGGCTCAGGTCATCATCTTCAGGTTGTGAGATCGAGCCCCACGTCAGGCTCCATGCTCAGTGTACAGTCTGCTTGAAAATGCTCTTTCCCCCTCTTCCTCTGCTCCGCGCCCCGCCCCCAACCGCCAGCTCAGGCACTCTCTCTAAAATAAATAAATCTTTAAAAAGAAAAAAAAGAAGTACAAACTGACACAAATAAGAGTTTTTTTGGAGATTGTTTTAAATGTTACCGCAACTCTGCTCATGCAAGTGATCTGATCTGAATTTTAATACTCTTCTCACAAATCTGCTGCAAAGAAAGACCTTACAACAGAAGGAAAGAAGGGAGGTTTAGACGACACAGTTGATACTTACCGTTTTCCTGGGCAATTCTTGTCATTCAGGCCGCCAACCTTGTTTATGGCAGACCAGGCTGTGAGAGCCACATAGGGCAGAGAGGCAGCTCGAGTATGAGTGAGTGATTTAGGCTTGAGAGAGACCTAAATTTGAAGACAACAGTTAAGATAAGCAATGACATGCAAACCTATGAACACAATTAAGTATATTTATCTGCATAGGAATCCAACTACTTTCATAGATAGGTCTGTAACATTCTGCCAGGTTCACTGTTTACTGCATACCCTACTCCAGGATTATCCCTAAGGAATATTCTCCTAATGACTCAACCTGCCTCAAAGAGGTTCAGTAATATTTTATAGGCTACATTATCAGATAAAGCTGCTTAATTCTTCATAAGAAGACTACATTTGATAATCCCATTAGTTCTGACTATACCCAGAAATAACTCCAAGTAAACCTTGAGCCCTCATAAACACATCCTAATTTATTTTTGAGATCAACTGCTTCCTTTACTCCCATTTAGTGGAAGATAATCTTTCCAGATTTTCTCTAATCTCAATAATACCCCTTTTTCCCTTCCTGCCCTTCCCTCTATAGCCAATTTCCTCAATGTTAACCCCTTTCTCTTTATTCAAATTGTCAGGCCACCTGACTGTATTTGATTAGACTGTTTTTAAAGTTATTTGAAAAAGCCTGATACTCCCATGCTTCTGTTGATGATTAACCGGTATGCTCCATTTGGTATATTTGGTTTCAACTGCTTATTCTGAGTAAAACTGAGAAACACAGCAGGGTTTCTAGATCTCACTCCAAATCCCTGCTCCGTGAGACAAAGAGCCGCTTTGGCAGGCAGTGTTACTCAAGGACATCAAATACTTTTTTTACTCTTTCAAAAGTTCCTATTCTGTATCTTAGTTCTTTCAAAACTACCCATAAAACACAAACCTGATGTGAAAAGCAACCAGTTATTTCAGAGATATTTGTCAGTCTTTGTTTATACTTTCTAACGGCATTTCAGCACGGAGTTGGGGAGTTACCTCATTCCCGCTGACTACAACAAACTCTGACAGGGTGCCTTGTTTCCAGGGAGGAACTGCAGCCCAGACCTGAAACACACAGCTTCATTAGAAACATTTTCTGACCAAAGCTCAGCATGAGGGCTTTCCCCGATACAGACGCCACCCTGTGAAAAAGCACAAGTCAGCAACAGGCCAAGCAAGAGTTATTTTCACATAACAGAAATGTAGTACTTAGTATGATTCTGAATTTATCAAGTCAAACCACACTGGAAGCAGATGCTAATAAATCCTACAGTATTTAAGGACTACTTAGAGTACCAGTAAGAGCACAGTCTCTGGGGCTTGAATACTGGCTCTAGCACTTCCTTTACAGCTGGGCTTCCTCATCTTGTAAACTGTGCCTAACTGTACTTACTTCATTAAGGATTAAATGTGTTATTTTATGAAAAGCAACTAGAACAGTGTTAACTATTATTATGAGCTCAACTTTAATTTCTTGGTATAAAAATTCAAAGTGACAAGTGACAGGTGATTATACCAAACTTTAGCTATTTTAAAACCATCTAACCCAAAAGGTAGAAATTGTCATTTAAAGACTTCAAGGAGAAAAAAAAAAAAAAAAAAAGTTGTCCCAATCCTACATATTTTAAAGTCTTCCAGTTCTTAAGCACTGGATTTAGAAAGCTCAAGTACAGTCAAGCTCTTTTGGAACTGTTTGTGAAAAATGTAACAACAGAACCAAGAAAATGAGGGTTCTACCCAAAGCTCAGTCAGTATACTTGAAGAAAAAAAAAAAGGTCAAGGATACAGAAATACTTCCAAAAGAAGCAAAATGAAATCCACATATTTAGAAAAGGAGTTAACTCACCTCATCTCCCGGCTTGAAGTACCTCACATCGAGTCCACATTCCATCACCACACCAGACACATCCCGACCCAGAGTCAGGGGAAATTCTTCTCCTTTGGTTTTAATATGTAAAGGATCACGTTTCATATTTAAAGCTGTAGCTCCATAACCACCTGTGAAATACAATTTATTGGTTTCCTCCAAAAGAATGAAATGATTTAAAAACCACTAGAGTTACATGACAGATTCTAGATCCTCAAGATGTAGATTATAAAATAATCAACCTCACAATTTTTATCATCGCACTCGAAAGCACAAAAACAAGGAATGTTGTTCTTTCCAAAGAAAATTACTTGCAATGTTATAACCACTCGTTCATCTAAAGCTACCATTGCTCAAACGGCCTTCAGAACTTTTGGTATTTCCTTTTATAGTCTTACTTTATTCTCTGAAAATGGTTTCCTTTATTAATTCATGAACTTGTTAAACAACAAATTATTTGGTGCCAAGTCTAGTGAAGAAGATAAATGTTTGAGAGGGAGACAAACCATAAGATTTGTCTTAATGTCAGGAAACAAACTGAAGGTTGCTGGAGTGGAGCGGGGTGGGAGGGATGGGATGGCTGGGTGATGGACATTGGGGAGGGTACGTGCTATGGCGAGTGCTGTGAATTGTGTAAGACTGATGAATCACAGACCTGTACCCCTGAAACAAATAATACATTATATGTTAATTTAAAAAAATTTTTAAAAAAAGATAAATGTTAAAGCTTTTTGAAGTTAACAAACAGTATCAAATACTGTATCCATGCCTAACCCTGGTCTAGGGATAATGTTCCCCACATCCTCAAAAATGCTTCCAGAGCACCTCTGAAATAAGTGCATAGATTCATGAGTGGGGGGAAAAAAAAAGTTTGACTACCTCTATTCTGATGGATAATAAAGCAGTTAATTTGACTTCTATCTTTATTTTTTAAATTTTACATAAATAGCAGCTAAATAGAGCTGAAAACATTCTAATCATAACTTTTGTTTCAAATAAACTGGCTATCTACAATAACCTAGTTTATTACAAGCTTCAACATATAAAATGACTTTTCTAAGACACAAAATTATCTGTTATAGCCTCTTTCGCTTGACATTTCTCTGAGAACAGAGAAATGAGCTAGGTGAGGCTCTCCAAGATAAGCACTCTTTCCACTCTTTCCACCTTTCTTGTGTCATGTACCACAATTTATGCTCCGAAGTCACTAACCCACTCTGTGAGTTTCCCCTTTCCCCCCACCCACCCGCAGAGGTGGCACATTAGATCATAAGGATGAGGAGAAACCAGCAAAGGAGACTGAGAAGGCCTGACCAGTGCAGAGGGGTGCTGAAGGCCATGGGAAGAGGGTCATTTCAAGAAATCAAATGCTGGGGAGGCTGGGTGGCTCAGTCCGTGGCTCTTGGTTTCCACTCATCCTGATCTCAGGGTGGTGAGATCGAGCCTGCCCTGGTCTCTGCACTCAGCAGGGAGTCTTCGTGAGATTCTCTCCCCCTCTCCCTCTGCCCCCCTACACCTGCTCATGGGCTCTCTAAAAATAAATAAACCTTAAAAAAAAAAAAAGTCAAATGCTGAGAGGTAAAACAGTTTTTCAGATAAAGTCAAAAGATGCCATACATTTTTTAAAAAACCAAACCAAACAGCTGATCCAGCAACACAGAGGTCTTCGGTGATCTTGACAGCAGTTGCTGTGGACTGGAGTGCTCGAAAGAGAACAGGGAAGGGAGGAACTGGAGACCTGAGACGATTCAACTTTCTCAAGTAGATTTTCCTATGAAGGGGAGCACGGAAATGAAACAGTGACGGGAGGGGCACAGGTGAGAGGGAGAGAGGATTTTTGAGTGTTTTTTTTTTTCCTCCTCTTTAAGAGGGGAGAAATAACATCAAGTTTGTGTGCTAATCAGAATGATCCCATAGAAAGGGAAAGACTGATGATACAGAAAAGAATTTCTGAAACAGTGCTTCTGAGTTGATTAAAAGGGATGGAATCAGGAACCCACGTGGAGGGTTGGCCTTAGACAGGAACAAGGAGGTTAATCCATATAGCAGGAGGGAAAGGTAGAGGATACAGCAGGAGAGGACAGGTGGGTGGCTTGCAGTTGTTTTTCTAATTAAAAAAAAAAATCAAGATGTGTGGGAGAGAGTGTTTGAAAAGTTGGGACAGTCCCAGAAAAATCTAAGCTGATGGCCATCATGCCAATATTACATATTTGCCATCTGGCTAGTTAGGAGTGCACCCCCCCGTCAGGGGAAAAAAACAACTTCACATGTAATACTCACGGAAGTCACGTTTCACTTTTCCTGTCTTACATTCCTTTTCCATAACTAAAACACAATTAAACAATTACTCACTGAAATTCCTATGTGGTATGAGCAACAAAAGCGGGTATTTAGCCATGTCAGAGTGTAGCTGCAGCTTCAGAGCTACAAAAAAGGCTTCAGTCCTTTCTGAGGTACAGAGCCTGCAGGACAAGGTTGCTCAAGGTTTCTTGGTCAACAGAGTAGCCCTGCCTCACTCACCTTTGGTACTAGCCCAACAAGCCGCAAATCCAGAACGCAGCTGGTAGTGAGCGAGAACCTGCTTGGGGACACAAATAAATGGGGGCCCTCAGGAGCTACATCCCATTGTTAGAGGTTGCCAGTTTAACTGACTCAGAGTTGGGATGATTTGGAAAATCCTAAAGTAATCAATTTCAGACTTTAATCCCATCTAAAGAAATCAGTGATTGTTGGTATGATGCTGTTGGCTATATATTTTTTTCTATTTTAAGATTATTCATTTAGCCATTTACATGATTTATGATTTTATGTCCAATAACAGTGGCTATCTCCAGAAAAACAGCCTGGCTTCATAGGTCCTTGCATTCTTGTTAAGGGAAATAATGGCTTCCTAAGTTTATAAACTTCTACTCATTATTTTATTTCTGCAAGCTACCATTTCAGGTATCTCCTGCAACAACAATCACACATTCTCAAAAACAAAACTAAACTAAACTAAATAAAAGGATCCATGAGCAGGAAATATAACTTACAAATAATATTACTCAGTTAAGTTATAAAAAACTAGTAAGAAGTCTCAAGAATACCATATAAAAGTAAAATGTGTCACAGTATTACATTGTTAAATAGCAGCCATAAAGTCGAGATCCAGGCACCCTACTGAAATTAAAATGTACACAAAACAAATTGTGCATATGCATTCAAAGAAATTAAAAGTTAACAGATCTAAAAGAAGACAAAATGTACAAATTACTCAAGGTTAGAACACCACTAATTTTAGTTTGCAATCTTAAGTTAAAATGAAAATAAAAAATGACGCAAAAATAAAGACTGAATGATAACCACATATGTGAAGTGCTGAAACAGTTAGTGGGTGGTAGAACATGGGATCTACCTCCAAAGGATTTACAGTCAAAGGAGATGAAAAAACATACTGATCATTGGGTATAAACCCACCACTTAAAGACATAGCCTATAAAAAATAAATTATCTTCATACCCAATGTAAATGAATAAAGTAAAACACTATAGCCGACAAGCAGTAGCACCTCTTACTTCAGAGCAAATAAAAAGAATACAAATGTGGATTTCATGGGACAATCATAGTAAAGACATTTCAATTCATCCTTAATAGGGAGCTTTCTAGCTATAAGCACTTTAGGAGTCCAAGTCTTTCCTCAAACCCCTGCCCCACAAAGACATGTGTAACAGCTATTCCTCACACTGCCTAGATTGGCACGGTCCAAGAGAAATATAATGCAAGCCACATATGTCATTTTAAGTTTCCTAGTAGCCACTAAAAAATAATGATTAATCTTAATATTTAATATATTCAAAATAGTATCAGGTCAATGTGTAATCAATATAAATTAATGATATTTTATTCTTTTTTTCTTACTGTTTGAAATCCAGTGTGTATTTTACACTAACATCTCATTTCAAACTAGCCACATTTCAGTAGCTCGACACTCACCTGTTACTAGTGGCTACTATATTGGACAGCCCAGGCCAGATATAGTCACTAAGTTAAAAATAGCAACATTAAAAATTGGAGCCAAAAGACCTACAGACCAAGGGGTGCTTGGCTGGCTCAGTTGGTAGAGCGTGCAACCCTTGATCTCAGGGTTGTGAGTTCAAGCCCTGTGTTGGGTGTAGAGATTATTTAAAAATAAAATCTTAAAAAAATAAACAAACCTAAAGACCGAGACACTGGACTTTATTTCCCTAATCCAGCAGTTCTCTAAGTTTTTACATCCCCAAGATCTTTTTGAGGAGCCTAAGAGGTCTTTTTTTTTTTTTTTTTTTAAGATTTTATTTACTTGAGAGAGAGTAAGAGTTAGAAGCAGAGAGCACAAAGGGAGAGGGAGAAGCAGACTCTCCCCTGAGCAGGGAGCCCGATGCAGGGCTTGATCCCAGGACCATGAGATCATGTCCTGAGCCGAAATCAAGAGCTGGCTGCCTAACCGGCTGAGCCACCCAGGTGTCCCTTCATACCATTTTATACTTCTAACCTGATTTAATTTTGTAATGTTAACACCAAAGGAGTTTACTGCCTTTTTAAATGAATAAAAATTTTAAATTTGCTCCTCTAATTTCTAATAAGGTAAATACTGATAGCTATAACTCACACAAACAAAAGCCCATTGTAATTATCAAGAGGGTAAAGAGATCTTAAGACCAAAACACCTGAGAACTGACACCCTAATCATCACACAGCTCCTGCAAAATCGGAGGAAAAATGCGAAAATTTCAGCCTCAACACTTTCCAACTTCTCCATAAATTTTGCAAAATGATTAAATTTTATAATTGGGTCATATAAACCAAGAAATTTAATTAATCACACATAGTTCACATACAGTAACTATTACAAGGCAATCTGATAAGAACTCTAAGTTACATACAGGCCTCAAAACACAGACCTACAGTTAAATTAAACTGCATATGGCAGCTTATTTATAACAAGGAAGTTAACTAACCAATCATCCCAAGAGATTTTCAAGAATTTTTTGAGAAGACATGGGTGAGGAATATTTTTGTCATTTTTTCCCCCAAAGTTAAATTCACAAGTAGTAATCAGTCTTTTCAGCACTATACTAATTGCATGGTGTATATATTCTTAAGGACTATAGTGCTCTTCAAGCTTTGTCAATATTCCCCAGCAGAAATTAAGATGGTAACATTCCCATTTAGGATGAAGCATACAGGAAAGGGTATTTTAAGTGCAGAGGGCAAAATTCAACAGCAGAAATGAGGAAAGTACTGCGACTGTATATCGGGCACCTGTCCTGCTTTGCCCACTGCACCAATAAAGATGTGAACAGTGGGAGAGCAAAGAATTATTAGAAAAATGCAAATTCTGAACTGATGTGAAAACATAATCATACCCCCAAAACCTGCAACAGCCCTCAGAATACCACCAAGTTCCCAGGAGAAGAGAACAAAAAGTTAGCTGTGGAACCCAAATTAACTCAAATTCCAATTTACATTTTAAGGAAGCATGGAAACATTTCAAAAGGTATATTTGCTTATATTTTGCAAAAGACTAAATAAAGTAAACCATGAACACTGCAATTTCAAAAACTTGACAAATAATATCTGAGATACTATCAAATACCTAAACTATTCCTTCGTGTTAAGCAAAGAAGCGTAGTCAAATAACAAGTGAATTTTTAAAACTGATCCCTGATGAAATTCTGAATTTTAAAAAAAGGTAAGGAGGAATGTCTTTCGAAAACTTACTTCTCATGTTAACATCTATTGGATTTACACTTGCAGCGTGAACTTTGATAATAACTTCATTTGGATAGTGTATGACAGGTATCATCATATTCTGAGTAAATCGAAGCACTTCATTCTTCCCGTATTTATCTATCACCCAGGCGGGCATGACAGTGCTCCTTGAAGAGGTAGTACTAATCTTTCCAACTAAAAGTTTTTGTATCGCGTGGCTTCTCCAGAAGCAAACCGCAGTACATGCATTTCTTCTAAGTACACACGTCTTCAGAAATTCCATCGTAAACATCAGTTGAACTGCGTGCCCTAATTAAAATGCATTTAAATGGGATCGAACTCCAACCCCTGAATCAAACACACTGGCCGATTTCAAAGTTGAGAATTCAAAAATGAAGTCAGCCTAACTAATGGAGCAAATGAAGGAAGAAGAATATGGAATTATTCTGCTCTTCCCATCTGAAAAGCCCCAATTAACGTTCCAGTCAATATTCTGTCCATTCTCCTCCTTCCTCACACCCCCTTCCCTTTGAAAAGCAAAAACAAAACCCCTAGAATCCAGCCCTGTCCCGGGAGCCCCCGGCAGGATAAGCTAACTCCGCTCGCGACCCAGACGCCACATAGAATCAGAGACTTCCCGACTCCCTCCGAGACCCTAGCCCGAGTCTCCTTACAACCCGCTCTCCTTCGCCGCAGGAGTTGCTTTGCGGCGCCAACCAATCGCGTGCAAAGATCATTTCCCCGAGCTGCAATTCGACCAATCTAAGTACTCGGTGTTGAAAGGGGCAGTGACGATCAAAGATGGCTGCGCCCGTGTGACCCCGGCGCGGGTGTTGACCTCTCTTATTCCTCCTTGTCACCTGGGCCTTATGGTGGCAGGCTGGGCACGAGGACCATGCTGGGCCGGACCCTCCGAGAAGT